ACGCCGGTCGCAAAGTTCTAAATATTGGCTCGCTGACCCAAGCCTGAGGTGGGGTCTTTACTTTGTCCACTTAGGGAAGAAAGTCTCATTTCTCAGTTCTCTTCTCTACTCAGCAATAGAAAAAGGGGTGTTGGTTAGCTGTCAGAAAAACTGATGAATAAAGGCTGATAGTTTCGAAAGAAACTGTTTGGGGCTGCGTCGGTGGGAGTAACGAAATAATTTGGATATATCAACAAAGTTGAAATGGTAAATTGGCCACCGTAATGATTACAGAAGCTTCTGTAATCATTACTGTGGCCAATTTACCATTTCAACTTTGTTGATATATCCAAATTATTTCGTTACTCCCACCGACGCAGCCCCAAACAGTTTCTTTCGAAACTATCAGCCTTTATTCATCAGTTTTTCTGACAGCTAACCAACACCCCTTTTTCTATTGCTGAGTAGAGAAGAGAACTGAGAAATGAGACCTTCATCCCTAAGTGGACAAAGTAAAGACCCCACCTCAGGCTTGGGTCAGCGAGCCAATATTTAGAACTTTGCGACCGGCGTAACAGCGACATAATAAGGAAAAGTTGACCTTAATACCCATATTACGTGATGTAAAGGAAATGTAACGAAAAGTCATGCTTGACGTTTTGTACGAGATGCGAAGGAGGTGGATATATGTTACTTCTGAAACTTTCTTAACAGATACTGGAAACTCAACAGCCTCCATCACAGCCGTTGTTACTAAATTCCTTGTTTTCAAACCTGACTTCTGTGCAAACTCGTCACACTTCTCCTTGAGCAGCCACCTACAGTTACGAAATCGTTTTTAATACATCCTTAAGTTTTCCTTGCATGAGAACTTCCAATTTCTATAAGCACAGTATTGATAACTTATTTTTTTCTTCGACTATTGCGTATAGAAGAGAATACCCCGACGGGACAGTCGAGACAGTGTATCCCGATGGTCGCACAGAGACCCGCTATTCTTCGGGACGGGTGCGGGTCAAAGATCGGGAGGGGCGTGTCCTTGTCGATTCTTCCCACCAGGACAGATGACAGATGCTGTGACGTTGGAGAGATTAATCAAGTGCTTGTGCGAAAAAATATCTTATGGAGGCTCAACATCCATAAATGACAATTTCTAACTTATTTTAGTGTTCACCCCCTTTTGAACATGATAACGGGCTCGTTAGCACACAACTGGGTGATTGTAAAAGTGATACATAATTATTTTGTCGCAGAGTCTTGAAAACAAGACAAAGTAAATGCTTTTAGTGTGTTCGGTGAACTTATCTGCTTGTGCGAGTAATTAAGTCTTTTCTGCGTCTTTTTTACTGCTTTTTCTTTAAGTGTTACCACAAAAACAAGGAAGTGAAACAAAAATGACAAAAACGTACTGGTTATGAAGTGACGTTTCTAATTCTCCGGTAACTAACAGTTATGACTTCTCAAGACAGCAACGAGGTATGCGACTAAGATTGATAATACCCAATGTTATCATTCAGGGCCGGGTTGTTCAAAAGTAGATTAAGATAACCCAGGGTTAGTGTGAAATTTCATTTCAGATCTGAAAGCTTTAAAAGAAAATTCAGCTTAATTCCATTTGTCTACAATTTGATAATTTAATGTCCTAAAATAAATTGGTAAAATTATCCCAAAACGCTTTTGATCAGAGAAATATAGAAACCTGGATTAAGATTTAACCCTGGGTTAGTGCTAATCAGCGTTCGATCAACTGGGCACTGATGTTTAACTCGCAGTTTTAATTAGAATTTAAACTGTTTTTTTTACTATGACTGTAGAATCTCGCGCGCGCTCATTGGTCGAGAACTATTTGTTAATAGGGTTATAGAGGATAAAATGACGTAATAAAACGCAACGCTCAGCAATCCTCACAACGGAAAATTTCTGAAAAATAGACAATGACAAATTTTTCACTTTTAAGATCAGCATACTGGGAGAAAGTGTTTGGAGAAGAACTTGTCGAGGTGGAAGAAAAAGGGGAAAAAAACCTTCAGAAAAAGAATTCTGGATCTCAGTTCGCAAGGTTGAAAGAAGACAGCCTCGAGGCAATACCTGCCTATGCCGAAGCAAATGGCTCAAAATTAAAACTGAGAGGGCGATAAAAAAAATGTAACAAGAGTTTTTTGACATTCATTACTTTTTATCATCATAGAAATCATTACAGAACACATTAAAACAACAACAATAGCACAAGCAACAAAGCAACTATCGATCATGTCACGCGTGAGTGAGTTTCTGAAAACCTTGGGGCTAAGCCAGTAAAAATGGTAATGTTATTGTAAAAAACAAATTGAGGACAATTTTTCGTTGTCTATAACCATACTGATCATAGAAATCTTTGCAGTGAAACTACTCGTAGTTTCGCTTTAGTTTTGAACATTGTTGACGTCATTTCTGTGATCAATGGGACTGATAGACAATGGAAAATTGTCGTCAATATTTGTTGAATACAGCAAACAGATAGCCAAGCAGCACATTATTCTATTATTTCATTAGTGGGCCAAGCTTTCACACCAAATTTATGCGCCGATTGATTAGAAGCTTCAACATCCCCTTGCACCCTCTCCCCCCCTCCCCTTACGGGCTGCCCACAAGCGGGAATGAGAATATTAACCTTGCCTGGACGGGGTGGGGAATTTGAACCAGAAGTGACAAGTCTTTCCAGCGTAACACACGTGTTTAAATCAGAGAGTTTTAAGCTAAAGTGTCTGATTCATAAGCAAATGGCTTAGGAAGAAAAGTTTTACATCGTACGACGATGCTTATCTTCGGAAGGCCGCAAGACCTGACGGGATACCAAACTGGTTCCTGAAAGAGTAAGCAGACATCATAGCTCGACCGGTAACTTTCGTCTTGAACTGCAGCTTCGCTGAACAGAGATGTCCGGCTTCCTAGAAGATGGCCGACATCGTTCCAATCCCAAAGCAAAAACCTGTTACCGATGTCAACAAGCATCTCCCGCCTAGATTTCCCTCACTCCGGCTCTCTCCAAACTCGCCAAACACTTTGTCGTCCATCATTACATCGCTCCTGCCCTGCTAGAGGTGATCGATCCAAACCAGTTTGGTGAGATACCAAACTCGTCGACCCTACTTGCACTTCTCTCCATGCTGCATACGTTGACACAGGCTAGTGATGCATCAGGTGGTCCTCTTAGATTACAAGAAGGCGTTTGATCTGATCGATCATAACCTCCTCGTGCAAAAGATTTTTAGTCTGGCCATCCCTCGGGACGTGGCTCTCTGGGTCGTCGATTTCCTTGCGCTAAGGCACCAATGTGTCAAACTTTCATCTGACTGCTACTCGGAATGGGGTCTAGTCCCCGCCGGTGTGCCTCGGGGCACCAAATTGGCGCCCTGGCACCTTATCTTAATGATAAGTGACCTGCGTGTAAACAACGTACATGCGTGGAAATACGTAGACGACACCACAATTGCGGAAATCGTACCAAGCGGAGGACAAAGTAACATCCAGAGTGCCGTCGATGTCGTGCAGGGCTGGTCCAACAACCAAAGCATGCAGTTAAATGCGGACAAATGTAAAGAACTGATAGTTGATTTTAAGAAACGCAAAGATGTGTTTGATCCTGTAAGAGGAGGTGGAAAAGATCTATCCAAAGCTCAGTGTGTTAAAATTTTAGGGGTTACTATAGCTAACGATCTTATCATGTAAATGAATCTATTAAGAAGGCCAAGAAGCGTTTGTATTTTCTAACCCTCCTTAGGGGGCCGGCGTCAACCACAGAGACATCATTCGATTCTACTGCACTGTAATAAAGCCTGTTCTAGAATAGGGCACTCCTGTTTTCCATCACAGCCTTCCTGAATACCTTAGCGATGACCTAGAACTTGTTCAGAAGAGAGCGTCATCTGTAATAGCACCTTGTCTCTGTTCCCTACGTCAGAGACGAGAAGACCTACGCTCTAAGCTCTTCACGAGTATAACGAATACAAGTGACCACAGCCTCGCCCACCTCCTCCCCCAAACGCCACCAAGGATCATACAAGCTAAGAAGATCAAGAACTTTTCAGTTACCACGGTTTCGTGCGAACCGTTTTAAGAAGACTTTTATTCCGGCCATATGCCAACGTATTATTGTCAATCGCTAGTATCGAATAGATAATTTTACCCATCACTTTATAAATAGACCTTTGTATTGTTCATTTACCATATTGTAAATAGTATTCAATTCAGCCTTTGTGGCTGCGATTTCGTCTTCGTTTTTAAAGTATCTATCTATCTACAACTCTCAAAAAAGAAACAACAACTTTGACTTTAAATTTACAAGACATGTTTCGACATTCTCATGTCATCTTCAGTTGCAAATGAGCATTTAACGGTTGTACATTTGAATTTATATTAAGGTACGTTACAAATTACATGTCAGGGCTTACGTTACATTTGAATGTTAAAAACGCGAAAAATGTAAATAGCGCGCGCTTGACTAGATCAAAAATAAATAGATAAATAAATAAAATAATAATAATAATAAAATAAAAGACCAAGCAACAACATGATTTAAAGGAAAGAGACAATTCTAGATGTTTCAATTGCTGATTAAGAATGAGTTTTTCCCACTTAATAGGCAATGCCTCTTTGATCTTAACTTGGCATTTTGAAGCGGCGGAATCTAAAATCGTGAAACATTCAGTATCACAAGAGTCAAGAGAGGCCCTTGATGATTGCAGGTGCTTGTAAATATGCGAAGTTTTTTGCGACAAGAGGTGCTCACGAACTCGTGTACAGATGTGGCGAGTGGTCTCACCAATATAACTGACATTACAGCCAGCAGATGAAAATTTATATACGACACACGTCGTGGTAGCCCCACGCACATTTCCAGATATTTTCAAGATGAAAAAGGGGAAAACATGTTGTCCAAGAGAAACGATGTGACCTTTCAAGACATCGATCTGACAGAAAAGGAGGACTTCTTATCCAAGGTTCTATCAAGATGTTTGATACTATTATTTGCGATGTTAATAATTGTACTGATAACGTTTTGGGTGCTCCTTGAATTGTGTAGGATGTAAGAAACGACTGCAATGAAGACGACCTCACCAAAGTCTTCATCGAACCCAAATGGGGTTGGATGCCACAGGATCCCCTAACCTGTAGCGGCACTGCCCTTCAAATCTGATACGAAATGAAACCATAAAAGTCGTCTGCTGCAAAATCGTCTTCAATTTTGGATCGGCCACCGGTGCAAGTCATGGCTCATTCAAGCTTTATCTATTCGCCGTTAAGGTTAGTACAAGTGCATTGTTGATGACCAAGAAAACGAAGACTCTACGATCAGTACAAGCTTTTGGGTCGATCACTCAAAAAGATGAGACATCCATGAAGATGTTCGGATCGTTTTCTTCAAGGCGAAAAATTTTTCTTCTCTGCGTTTTACGAGAAGTTTGAATCGTCATTATGCAAGAAGGTCAGAGTACCGCTTTTTGAATTTTTTTGTGGTCAAGTAACTTATTTAGTCAGAAGTAATCTAGTTTTCCTAAGCTTTTGTAAAGGAAATTTTCCTAGAGATCTTATGGGGTTGTCACCGGAGGGCTCTTTAGTAACACATGTGGCAATGGTTTGAAATAAAAACACTTATTAAGCTTGAAAACCCCTTATTCTTCTGAAAGGCTGCATTAACAGAAAGCTTTCACATCATATTTCAACTGACAATTATTCGATTAAAGGAAAATGCCGCAGCTCCATTCGATTAACGACACTCTTAGACCCGTAAATGAGCCACTAAGGAAACTCAGTTTGACAATAATTTCCATTCCATTGAAACACCAACAGAATTTCTTACATAGGCTCTCAAGATCGACATATTCACATAATTCCTCGGTGACATTTTCATTGTCATTTTCGCCATTACTAGCAGGAGTCAACCACAGGAACTTCACAGTCCAAATGAGATGTAATGAATTTACATCCTCGAAAACAACCTTTTGCTTCTTTTAATCCGCTTACACGAAAAAGACGGCTTTCACATAGTTAATGCACTGTTTAAACAGACGCCAATCTTAGGTTTGAATCTGTTTGAATAATGTGTGCAATACTGATGTGAACGAAACAGTTGCTGAAATAGTGCTTCTTGGAGCTTCACGCATTTTAGTACAAATTTAGTGAGTTCAAATTTGCTATTCAATATAGCTATGTATTGGAGTGGCGACATGTACTAGCTATTTTGAGGCTTTTACTCCTCAAAAAGTTTCTTGCCTACGTTTCGATTCGTTTCGATGGTCGTTGTTTTTGCTAACATCCCTGCAGCATTTGCCTTTTTATCAGTTAACACCGTCATTTCTAAGATAGCCAGACGTGAGATGATGTGCGGCAACAACAATTGTGGCCTTTTTCCCTGAAGCATGACCCGTAGGAGTCATGCTTTAGGGAAAGTACATGCTTTAAGGAGTACAGAGAACAAATCGAGCCACTAACTACTGCTGTAGAATTTAAGGTAGTTTAATAACTGTCACTAACAGGTCTTACTCAGCGAGGAATACGTTACTTGAAACAGTTGTTGAGGGAGCGCTTCCTGTAGCTAGCCATTGAATGCAATTAATATTTGAAGTTTACTTCTTAAAAAAGCCATGTATTGCAGCATAAAAATCATATGCATAATGTAGACTAGTTCCGTCATTGGGTCCTGAAGAAGGTTCTGGACTTACGCTAGGGCTAAATGACCGGCAACCGGGGACCGTCTCAAATAGACTAACTGCACGGAAGTCGGAAGTTTTCACCGAATTTCGATTGAAAGGTTCCTTCTAACTTCTTAAGAATATCAGGTGTTTGTCTAGAATTTCAAGCAATTCCAACAATGTATTTGTGTTTAGTGGACAAATTCTGCAGGCTTGTGCATCCTTTAAATATTTCTCGGTTGACGACACTCTAAACGGTCGAATTACACCCACGACTCCCTTCAACGGTGTTGTTTGACAATAGGGCAAAGGTAACAACCTTCCTATCGATCCCTTGGAGAGTCTTTATTTGGTCAGATGCGCTTCGATATTTGAATCCCGTAGTAATAATAATAATAATAATAATAATAATAATATTTATTATACAGCGCCACAACGAACTTAGAGACTTAGAAGCTGAGCTTTTAGGAATTGTCTGCAAAGATGTGGGAATCGAACCCCAACTCC